TTTCTTTCTGGGCTTCTGAAGTATGAATATCAAATCGGAGGATGAGGATTCTATTTAAACAGCGCAAATATAAAATATTTTTCATTGCTTAGAAATAGTGTCGTATAAGAAACTATTGATTAATCCTAAGTTATTTTTGATCAACGCCCTGAAGGGCCAATTAAGGAAAGAGGTCATAAGCAGGTGCAGGCAGGGCAGGGCAGGGCAGGTCTTTGAATCGCCGATTAAAACAAAGCAACGAATCACTTCGCTAGTTAATAATTAATTATCGACCTCGCTATTCTCTCGCTCCCACGCACGCAAAAAAAGAAAAAAAAAGGACGTCTATCAAAGCTTCGTTCGGATTCCCAAGTGCTCCTTTTATCATCGTTGTTTCACTATAGAATCGTATATTTTGGCCATAAGATACCCAGAGCAGCAAGAAGTCGGAAAGAAGCAGAGAAGTAAGAAAGAGAAAATGGGGGGAGATGAAGAAAAGAGATCATCAATCGACCAAGATGAAGAAAGGGATTGGTGGGTAAAGGCGGGAAAATGGAAATCGAGCAGTACATACAGCGGGAAAGAAAAGGAAAGAAAAGAACAAGAACAAGGCAAAAAAAAAAAAACCCTCCTCCCGGTGCATGAGGTATATTTCCTCCGTTTCGTCCCATGAAAAAAGTAGAAAAAGAAGTGAGAAGAAGGACACGGAGGCGGGGAGGAGAATTGGTCAAATTGCAGGGAAAGAAAATGGAATGAAAAAGGGGAGAAATGGCGGGGAAGGATGAGATGAAGAGCCCCTGGTTGAGTTGAGAAAGGAGGTAAAAAGGAGTATTTTTTTTTTTCCATATGTGTGTTTCGTCGCGTTAGTTGGAAGAGTTCTTCTTGAATCGTAGAAGCTCGGCGAGGCTGGCCAAGCTGCATCCGTTCTTGAGGAACTCGTGGGAAAGTAATTCATCAGAGGAGGCACGGCTTCGGACATCGACGCAAAGACATACGCTAAGGAAAGACTTGAGCTCCTTGCTTAGTTTCTCTGGCTTCTTGAGACATGGGGTTCCGTTAGTGGCAATGAGGTAGAGTGCCTTGAGCGGTTCTTCATTCAGATATGGTGGTTCAGATTCGATCAGCTCAATTGCCATGATTCCGAGGGACCAGACGTCGACTCGTGGGCCATATTCTTTCTGTTTGACGACTTCGGGAGCCATCCAGTAAGGAGTTCCCACCATTGTGGCACGCTTGCTCTTGGACTCGGTGAGTTTGGCACAGAATCCGAAATCAGCTGTAGACATGTCTTAGTAAGTGGTGCTATGATATGATGTTTGTGAGCGGACAAAGGGAACGGGGGCTTACTAATTTTCACGTTTCCTACCCTATCCAAGAGGACGTTGTCACTCTTGATGTCACGGTGGATGATGTTTTGGCCGTGTAGATGGGCTAATCCTTTGCATGTCTAGGATCTTGGTTAGTAATGGTGTGTATATACCATGCAGGCTTAGCTTAGACAGCTGGGCGCGCCTTACCTCGTAGCAAATGGTGGAGATCTGATCTTCTTGAATAACAGGATTTTGCTCAATGACGTCGGTCAAGGCACCGCCCTCCATGAACTCCATAACAACCCACAGTTCATTGCTGGACTCCTGCAAGAATGAGTCGAGGAAGTTGACAATGTTCGGGTGCTGGCTGTCCTTCATGACGATGATCTCGTTGACAATAAGTTCCTTGCGAGGCTGGCTCCTTAGATCCATCTGTTTGATAGCAACCTGTCCACGAGGGCCGTGTGTGCGGTACAGTTCACGGGCCACGGGAGAGCTTGCATTCTCCTTGACACGAGCAACGTACACGGATCCAGAGGCGCCCTGCCCGATCTTTCGTTGCTTGCTGTACGACTCGTTGGGGTTCTCCTTTGAAACGACCTGTCTGAGCTTCTCCATGACCTCGCTCTCGGACATGGTTGACATGCGGACGTCCTTTTGGCGGGAAGGGTCTGGCTTCTTGGCCAGAGCAGCTTCAGCTTGACGGACACCGTCTGGGACTCCGTTGGCCTTGTTGGTATTGTTGTTGTTGTTAGTGGTAGTAGTAGCCCCGTGTTTGTTGGCAACGTTAAGAGGCTTAACGGCCTGGACAGGAGCAGGGAGACGGCTTGGAGGCTGGCCGGACGCAGCAGAGCCGTTTGGCTGGCGTGGTTGGGTGCGAGCTGGGCTACGGCTGTCGTTTCCTGCATAACGCGAGCTGGAAGGCTGCTGTCGGCTCTGGTCTGGACGGGGAGCACTTCGCTGAGCACTGTGATCGTCTCTGGAGTGTGATGGTGATGATGATGACGAGGGGGCCCCGTTTCTGGGTGGAGAGGGAGCAGGACGCTGGGCAGTCATCTGTCTGGAATCCTGCTGTGGCTGTCGAGCTCTGTCGCCTGAAGGGGCCTGGGGAGCAGGTCGTGAAGGGTTATATCTGCTGCTGCTGGATGTGCTGGGTGACTCTCGAGGACCACCATATCCACCGAGCTCCTGCTGAGCAATTGGCACTCGGGTCTTTGGTAAGGAGGCATTGTATGCTTCCTGTTCTCTGCGGGCTTGTTCTTCCTCACGCTGTCTCTGTGCTTCACGAATACGACGAGCTTCTTCTTCCATTCTCCGCCTCTGGTCTGGATGGGGCATCTCCTTGGACCGGTCCTGGCTGTACTGCTGCTGGTCGTATGGCCGGTCAGCGGGATCCGAGGCCTTGCGCTGGGAGGATGACGGTGCAGGAGAGCCGCTGCCGGGGGATCTGTCGTCGTGTCCGCGCATAGACTGGCTGGTATCCAGACGCTGGAGGCCGGTTGGAGGAGGAGGTCTTGGGGGAGCAACACCACCACTACCACCACCCCCATGGCTGCGGAGAGGCTGCATGTTATGTGGAGCGGGGGCAGGAGTGCTCATGCCCGGGAAATACTGAGGGTTCTGCTCACGCATCTTGATGTCGGAGTAGAACTCGAGCACCTCGATGACGGCCTGGGGGTTCTTCTTGTAGTCTTCCTTGGTAATGGCAGATGCCGTGAGCAGCTTCTCCCACTCTGGCGGGAGGCCAACAAAGGCACCGGTCTGGGGGTCAAACCCGACGTGAATCTGGTGGCTGAAGTTGGTCGGGTTGCTGACACCGCCCATGCCAGGACATCGTTCGTATATCTTATCGATCCAGTCGTAGATCTCGTCGTCGCTCTTGACCTCGCAGGTAATGGTCTTGGTAGCGACGTCCCGGGCCCCCAACGGGCTGCGGGCATTCGCATCCTTGGGGTTGGCCACTCTGGTAATCTCGAAGGCCATCTTGGTATCCTCTGACCGGGTCACGTTCATGACGTTGCTGAGCTGGATGGAGAGCACACTCTTGCCCGTCTCGTTCTTGAGGAAGTCGAGGCGGAACTCGCGTAGAACGAGGTAGCGCTGGTTCCAGCTGGCGAGGAACTTGTCCTCCTTGCACCGCACGTAGCCCTCCTTGATGACCGCCACGCCGCCCTGGCCGGTCGTCTTCTGGCTCAGCGAGAGCGAGGAGGAGTTGGGGAATATCGAGAGCGCGGGCGTCGACGGCGAATTGATGTTCATCCGGTCGAACGTCGTCGCCGCCGAGTTGACGGCGGACATGGTCGACACCGAGCTCAGCTGCGGCCGGTCTGTAGGCGGGCGAGGCGCCGGCCCTGGGTTCATGAACTGCTCGCGCGAATACATGCTGGATAGACGGTCTGGTTAGCAACAACGCACTCCGGCTGAGGGCTTCTCTGGGTGTCGTCTGCCTGCCTCCGCACAGGAAGATCAAGGCCGCAGAAGTTGTTATTCCCGTCCTGCTTGCTTTTTCCTCGCTGCTGGCGCTCGACATGGGATCCCTAACAACGCTCGCGCCGTTTCCCGAGGGGCAGAGCAGGCAGGCAGGCAGGCAGGCAGACAGACAGAGGGGAGGTCGGACGGAGGGGGGGGGGGACTCACTTTGGAGACGAAGCCATGCTTTCCGCAGAGTTAGAGAGCGAAGACTCAGCAGGACATCCGGCAACACGACCTGCCACTGATAGCAGCAGAGAGGCGCCGGGTCGAGGAGTTTGGGCGGTCTTTTGCGTTGCGCGTGAGTGAGTGAGAGATGGGTGGATTTTCAGGTGGCTTTTAGGGGGGGGCGAAGGGGAGGGAAGATCCGGTTTCGGTTTTTGAGGCGGTTGGGCAGAGACAGCAAACAACAACAGGCCGCTGGAGGACCACGCCGGACAGGACGACGACGCGAAGACCAAGCGACGACGAGGAGGACGAGGACGGGAATAAAGGTCGAGGATGGCGGTGATGGCTTATCAGAAGCGAGACGCTCGACTCGACGGCAAAGCAAAGAGGCGGCGGGTGGTCAGTCAATTGTCGGCCAGGGGGGCGCTAGAGAGCGATCAACTCGGCTGCGGGAAAGGGACAGCAAGACGGACTTGATATTGCTCCAGGCAGCGACGACGAGACGAGCAGAAGAAGAAGAAGCAGAAGAAGGAGAAGAAGAAGCCGGGAAAGGCTCGGTCGGCGTCGACTCGAGCCAGCAAGCTGTCCCCTGCCTACCCACAGGATTATATTGGTTGCTGGTTTGACGGGCAAAAGTGATACAGTCCCCTGCTCCGCCGGAGGGAGGAGTCGTGCCGCCGGGTGGACCTCCCAGCTTATAAAACAGGCCCGGAGACGGGCATCAAGAGGGACGAGGAGGAGCAGAACCAGACAAGACTCGCTGCTGTGTCATTCACCATTCACTGCTCAATTTGCCTGCCGGGGGAGACGTTGCAGGGCGGGATACTACTGCTACTGCTGCTGCGCATGGAGTAGTCACTCTCTGCCGGCTGATCGCTCAGCGGGAGCACAGTAACATATCGACAGCAACAGCTCCAGGGCCTTCTGTTAACTACAGGGTACCAACTTAGCCCCCCCTGACCAAAGTTGGATTTTAGTCAACCTCCTCATAGGCGGAGTTCCTGGGGCGAAGTTGTGGTGGATGATGCCGACCATCCAGGGGAAAGGGGGGGAGGAGGTCTTCTCCCTTTCCATGGCTCTTCTATCTATCAGATCCAGGCTCGAGGACCAGCCAATATATTTCTGCTCCGGTGCAACAGAGCCGGGCCTGCCTACGGAGTACCGTCGATGCATTGCGGTTGAACTTGTCCCTCTTACGCTGCAGTAGTGACTGGAGCATGCATGCGGTTCGAACTATGGAGCGGGGTACATACATGCCTTACATGCATCAAGCTACGTTAAAACTGTTTCAACTTCTGGCGTAGCTGGTTATATATATAAACTGGCTAGCCCCCTCTCCCCTATTTCTTTTCTCCTCGATAGCCCGTTGAGACACGCAGAGACGAGACGGGATATGGAGGCATGTTCCATATATATACGCACGCTACATCCACAGCAGAGATGGTAGTACGATTTGGCCAATTTTAAGCGGTTTCAGTAGACGTGTAGGATTGGGACCGCGGGAAAGAAAAGAAGAAAAAAAAAAAGAAGGGGAGTTAAGGACAGCAAAGGAGCCAAAAGAGAACTTGCTATGGGACAATATTGATGATATTCCTCGAGGATTTCCAAGGACCAGAGGCGAAAAGGCGTGGATTAACACAGGGATCTGGTATATTATGGCGGAAGATCACCAACGGCAGAGAGAGAGCAAAAGCTCGTACATTTATATGCAGGCCAAGATAGGAAGAAAAAAAAAAGAGAAGAGAACGAACGAACCAGGATAAACATGCCTGTGAGCCAGAGTCTAACATATTATATCATGACTCCGATCCAAAGGGGTAGTTGAATTTCAAAAGGCCGTTCAGACCCCCTACCCAGCCGTCAGCAGCGCCGCCCTCGCCAACAGTCTTGCGCATCACACACGGCACACCACCGTACCAGGCACCGTCGACGACCCGGATGTCCTCGCCCCAGACACGCACTTCCATGCCCACTCGCAGGCCCTCGCTCATGGTCACCCCGTCTATGCTCACCTCGACTTCCCGGCCACGATTCTTCTCGCTGAGCCGGAGCGTCACCGGTGTTCTGGACGGCACGACCAGGGACCGGAAACTTAGACTTCGTGCACAGATCGGTGTAAGCAGCAGGGAAGAGACGAGAGGGTGGATGATGCTCCCGCCGCATGAGAGGCTGTACGCTGTGCTGCCTGTGGGTGTTGCAACGATCATCCCGTCCGCTACTGCTTCGGTCAGGAAACGGCCGCCAACAAAGACCTCCACAATCGCCAGATGAGGCTGTCGGCCGCGGTGGATGACTACCTCGTTCATTGCATAGACGCCCGTGTCTGCTTCCTTGGGCGAGGTCAGCGTCACCCCGTTGCTGTGCACTGCCTCTCCGTCCGGTGTGAACACTCCTACTCGTAGCCGGCTGCGGACCAGGATACGGGCACTGCGTGACATTCCCATCGACTTTCCCCGTAGCGCCGACCACCCTCCTCCCGCATCAGCGGCAGCAGCAGCAGTAGAGGTACTACTGCTTTCTCCATTTTCGACAAGAGAGGGTGCTCGCTCGCCAATTCCGGCACCAGACATGTAAACCTCCCGAAACGCTCCTTTGTATTCCGAGAATTTCCACTCTCCTAGGAACCCCAGCGTGCCCATGCTGAACGAGAGTATCGGCGGTACAATCTTGGACGTTGCAAACAGTGAAGAGGCCCGTAGAATGGTTCCATCTCCGCCCAACGTTACTATCAGGTCTACCTTTTCCGGAGGTATCGATGACTCGGCCAGATTGGTATATACCGGAAACGGGAGAGAGTCGTGTATCTCCGTGGCCGTATCTCGTTCAAGTATCACTGATATCGGCGAATAGTTCGATTTTATATGGCTATAACCATTGTCAGTACCGCTTCCCCCTTTTCTCCATCATTTTAGAACATACTTTGCGAACTCAACCACCGACTGAGTCACTTCCGGAGCACCCTTCTTTTTCATCAACAGAATGTTCCTGGGCGGCCCAGGCCATTTCAGAGCAAGTAAATCACTTCCTCCAGACTCTATTCGTAGATTATCTCATGGTTAGCAGTCAGAAGGCAGAATACCAGCTAAAGGACCAACGCACACCTTCATATTTTGGAAACACCCTCCCAGGAAGGGTTCGGATATCTTCTATCTGTCTCAACCTCGAGCTCGCAGAGAATTGACGACGGAAGACGGAATAGGGAGAGGCTATAGCAGCCGGTATATTGGTACAACGCTTCATTGCGACAGTTGAGATATGACTTGTTCTTTTTTTATTTTCCAGTGGAAGGGCGTGTGACAGTGTAAGTGCTATGACTATATCTATGGCTTATCAGTATAGATTCTGGCTATGCATAAAGGAATAATGGGACCATACAGTATGTATGTTAGTATCCCTTTTTCGTCTCCTTCTCGCTCTTCTGGCTCTCCTGGCTCTCCTGGCTCTGCTGACTCCTCTTCCGCAAGCGCCTCGAAATCTTGAGGCTCTCCATCCAGAGGAACAAGTCTCTCCTCCGTTCGAAGCGATCAGGTGAAACCCTTACACCGATGGATAGGCATGGCCTAGGTGCGTCAAACAGCTGTTCAGCTCCGTCTACCGCCGTCTATGCCAGCATCCTGAACTTTCGTCTCTTGTCTCTTTCTTTTGCTTCCCTTCTGTTGTTCTTTTTCGGCTTTTTCTTATGACCTCACGATGCCAAGTCCCGAAGTCACATGATTGATATTTCGGATTATAGTTTATACTTTCCGTTGATTACTCAGCAACGCTTGGGCCGCACTTTGTTTTAACTTTTTTTTTAGAAAGTAGCAAAAAGGCCATGTTTGATATTATGTACGAAGAAGCAGAAGAAGCAGGAGAAGAAAGACGGGGAGATGGATGTGTGGCAGCATGGTAGGACAAGGGTAGGACGCTGTGAAAAGGTCAGAAGAGACAAAAAGTAGAAGTAAAAGAAGAAGAACCTAGGGAAACAAGAGCTGGAGGAGCCAACTTGGTGTAAGCAACCAAGCCAGGACTAACGAAGGGGCAGTGCTTGCCAGTTTGTTGCCTCCAGAGTTGTTGTCAGGCAGCAAGACGGCCAGTCCCAGAACTTGAGACTTTCCTTTGTCTCTCTGTCTCTCTTTGTTTTTGTCCACTTCTCACATCTATAGCTGCTCACTTTAACCATCTCACAGGCTTGTTTGTGAGAGTGACGGCATCACGCTTGGTTAACACGTGGCTAGCTGTGCCTCTAGAGCTTGCTTTTGCTTGTTATAAGAACCAGCGATCTGCTAGCTAGCAGCCTCGGAACGCTGCGGCATCCTGGCTAGGGATCTTAGAAGAAGGAAAAAAGAAGCTTGTCCAGGACCCGATATAAGACTCAGCCCGGACTACAACGTCGAAGATCACCAGCTAACTCCCATCCTACTACTACTCACTGTTGATGCCCCGAGCAAGACACCGAAAGATGGCTTCACAGGCCAGGAACAGCGCAAGACCCGAACTGAAGAAGTCATCAAGGCATATGTACGAACGAGAGCCGGCAAACTATGGCATCCTCGTCCAGCTTGTCCGCAGCTTTCTCATAGTTGCCTGGTTCTGCTGCTGCTGCACCTGCATCGTGGTCGCCCAGGTCGTCGGCCTGCCGCTCTATGTCATCAAGAAAGAGTACTTTAATGCATGGATCG